ATAAGAGCGATGGTAGTTACACGGCGATTACTTGATGCGGCAAAATGCAATATTTCGCTCTCTCTTTTCTTTTTCCTTATAAATATTTTTTTTTGTTAATGATATGTGATTATCTAACTAAGTAATGTCATTATTTATTTAATATCTATACAAATTTTAGATATCATTTTTTTGTAAGCGTGATTTGTGTTTGATTTAAATATACCGTTAATCATAGAACATATCCAAAACTTTAGGCAAATTTTAGAAATTAAAAGCTCCTTGAGTCTTATATTAATGGGCTTCTTGAGGGCCCAACATAAGCTCCAGGTCCCATTAACAGCAGTATAAATGAAGTCCAAAATTCAATTAGGATACGACATTATTAGAAAATATTTATAACGAGACAACAAAAATTATATATCGTAAATGACAAATAATGATATTGGTTTTCAAGGGAATTGTTATAGAAATATATTCATTGAATAATTTATGGTGGATCCCATTATCATTATCACTCACTATACAACACAATAACACAAAGTAAGACCTACACAAGATAAAATAAATTTCATCTCATTATTACTCTTTTGCTTTTCTTATGATTCACTACCTTTTTCTCTTTCGAAGTTAACAATTTTACGGTTCATAAATTTAAGATATATTATATATCTATAAAGAAATAAAAAAAATCATAAAAAGATAATCAAATATAAAAAGATTTTGAAAATTTTGCAAAATATACCCTACCAAACAATAAAATTTTCAAAACAAACTATTGCTTAAAATCTAATGTTTTCTATACTGCTTAGTGCTGCATACTGTAAGAAACTTTAGATTTACAAAGATAGGCATGTAGGCCTCGTATAAATCCACATGATGGTACTATATATAATTTTCTATTAACTCTTATATATTTCTTGTAAGGATAGGTTATGATGAAAGTAAAATAATCAAGAAAACAGATTAACAGCCATACCAAACTCCCATAATGCTTAAATCTAACTCGTCACGTTTAGACTTTAAGATTACATATTCCTAATGATGATTTCTGTTGGGTTTTCGTGTATTACTCTACAACATAAAAATAAAAGCCTAACGTCTCTACCTAATTTGATACCATAATTTTCCCATTCATTTCCTTTTTTGTTATACCAATCGATCCACCCAACAAATCTACATGACCTCCCTTAATTCTTCCAACGTTCTTTTTTCATAAACTGATTTAGAGAAGAATCTCAAGCCGAAACTCAAAATTATCTTCAATTTTTATTTTATTTTATATATTCAAACATCATAAGTATAGTCTCATGAAATATGTAGGTGAATTTGAAAATTTTATTTACATTTTTCTAAAGGTTTCATTTTTTTTTTCTTTTTGTCAATCATTACATCTTATATGACTAAAACTAAATGTGTGTGTGTGGGTTTTTTTTTTGAAAAATCAAAAAACTAAATGTGTTAACAATAATTAAACAAATACTTGAAAGATTACACGTTATTAGCTTTACGCATAATAGCGTGCTTCTCTTTAATCAGTATAGTACCATGCCAAAATCCTACTTTGATCTCAAGTGTTTGATTTACTAATTGCAAATTAAATGTTACAACAAAGTCAAAATGTTAGATGATTTAATTTTATATAATTAAAAGTGTGTTTATTTCAGCTTTTTATTTTTATTCATTGAGTTAACTTTAAAAGGTAAAAACTAAAAAGTAACCCAACTTTCTTCTTGGTGGACTTCGTCAAATAATTTCCACACCCAAATCATTCGGGCCTGTGAGAATATCATAGATAACTCGTGACTAAAACCAAAAAAAATAAAAAATTCGTGAAAAAATGTTATTATCATATTTACTGATAGGACAATATTCGTTACAAATGCTAAACTTTTTTTAACTCCCTATTATCTTATTACAATTCCATAAAGTATGGATAAATTCAATACAGATCAAATAAACACGCAATTTCCATGGAGTAAAAACTCTTTTACTTTCGGAAGCAAAAATACTTGAAATATGATTTTTCACAAAGAACCTTAAGCCCCAAGAAAGAGACGTATGCATACACAGAAGGAAAACTGTGAATAGATTTGCCCAACTCCTCACCTACTCTTAACTTCAATTATATACATACACACATATAAACAAAAGCTATGTACGTATATATCAAAAGCTACAAAACCCAAATAACCTCAAAGTTAGATACTTAGAGATGACCAAACAAATTGACAAGTTTCTATCTCAATCTTACATCTAAACATTCTATAAAGTCTTTTCATTTCTATCAAAATTATTTTGTGGGTAAAGAGCTTTAGACACATTACCTTGAGAGACCAAAAGGTTATAACCAGGCAGATAATTCAGTCATGTCTGGTTTGTTCGGTAGATTATCTCCGGCCAGACGAGTCATCAACGGCGATGACCTCCCTCTGTTTTACAATGACCAGAGATGTCAGAGAGACACAGCGCGAGTGTCTGTCACACTCGCAGAGCTTCTCATGAGTATGGAAGATGAGCAGAATGACCGAAGTCGGGCTTTGGATGATGCGGTTGCTTCCAATTTCTGGTCCTCGGTTTCGTCTTATTCAGTGCGTTCTTCTTCTCCGTTTGTTCTTTCTTTCAAAGACTTGACATACAGCGTGAAGATCCAGAAGAAGTTTAAGCCGTTCTCTTGTTGCGGGAATTCGCATTTTGATGGTAATGATATGGAGATGAATACTAAGGTGCTGCTGAATGGTATCTCTGGTGAAGCCCGGGAAGGAGAGATGATGGCCGTTCTTGGAGCAAGCGGGTCAGGGAAATCAACTTTGATCGACGCATTAGCCAACCGGATTGCAAAAGAGAGCCTCCATGGTGCTATTACTTTAAACGGGGAAGTTCTTGAATCCCGCCTGCATAAAGTCATATCGGCTTATGTGATGCAGGACGATCTTCTCTTCCCGATGCTCACCGTGGAAGAAACTTTGATGTTTTCTGCGGAGTTCAGGCTTCCACACTCGCTATCTAAGAAGAAGAAGAAGGCACGAGTGCAAGCTCTGATTGACCAGCTAGGCCTGAGGAACGCAGCGAAAACCGTGATTGGTGATGAGGGACACAGAGGTGTATCTGGAGGAGAAAGGAGACGGGTCTCAATTGGAATTGATATAATCCATGACCCGATTATCCTCTTTCTCGATGAACCTACCTCGGGTCTCGACTCTACAAGTGCCTACATGGTTGTCAAAGTGCTTCAAAGAATCGCACAAAGTGGCAGCATAGTTATCATGTCGATCCATCAGCCGAGTTACAGAATCTTGGGCTTGGTCGATAAGCTAATCTTCCTTTCCAGGGGAAACACCGTTTACAGCGGCTCCCCAACACATCTCCCTCGGTTCTTCTCCGAATTCGGTCACCCAATTCCCGAAAACGAGAACAAAACAGAGTTCGCACTCGATCTTATCCTTGAGCTAGAAGGTTCGCCAGAAGGAACCAAAACTCTAGTCGAATACCACAAGCAATGGAGGGCAAAGCAAACCTCAAGCCAGAGCAGAAGAAACACAAACGTATCTCTCAAAGACGCGATCAACGCAAGCATCTCGAGAGGGAAACTTGTCTCCGGAGCAGCAAACCTAAAATCCTCATTTCAAACCTTTGCAAATCCATTCTGGACCGAAATGGTCGTAATCGGCAAACGATCTATACTAAACTCAAGAAGACAACCCGAGCTTTTCGGAATCCGACTAGGAGCTGTTCTAGTCACAGGAATCATTCTAGCTACAATCTTCTGGAAACTAGACAATTCACCAAGAGGTATACAAGAACGATTAGGGTTCTTCGCATTTGCAATGTCCACAACATTCTACACATGTGCAGAAGCAATACCAGTGTTTCTACAAGAACGTTACATATTCATGAGAGAAACAGCTTACAACGCTTACAGGAGATCATCATACGTCCTTGCTCACACGATCATCTCAATCCCTGCTCTAATAATCTTATCAGCTAGCTTCGCCGCAACAACTTTCTGGGCGGTAGGTCTCGCCGGAGGTTCAGAGAGCTTCTTATTCTTCTTCTTAACCATCCTCGCAGCGTTTTGGGCCGGAAGCTCCTTCGTGACGTTCTTATCCGGCGTCGTTTCTCACGTAATGATCGGATTCACGGTGGTTGTAGCGATCCTCGCCTATTTCCTCCTCTTCTCCGGATTCTTCATCTCGCGAGATCGAATCCCTCTTTACTGGATCTGGTTCCATTACCTCTCGCTAGTGAAATACCCATACGAAGGAGTTCTTCAGAACGAGTTCGAAGATCCGACGAAATGCTTCGTCCGTGGGATTCAGATGTTCGACAATTCGCCGTTGGGTCAAGTTCCGGCCGCCGTGAAAATCAGCTTGTTGAAGAGCATGAGCGGCGTTTTGGGGATCAACGTGACGGCGGAGACTTGCGTGACGACGGGAATCGATATTCTGAAGCAACAAGGAATCACAGAAATCAGTAAATGGAATTGCTTGTGGATCACTGTCGCTTGGGGTTTCTTCTTTAGGGTTCTCTTCTACTTCACACTCTTGATCGGAAGCAAGAACAAGCGTCGCTGATTTTACAAAAGAAAACAAAATCCTTATTTTAACCTCAAGTAAAAAAGAAAAATTAGAGTAATAATTAGCAAAAAAAAAAAAAGTTTGTCCTTTGTTTATTATTATTTTTTTCTTTGTTTTGAATGTAACTATTTGTAAATATCTTGTCTTGATTAGTTCACTAATTTCGTTCCGGTAATTCTTTCACGTCTCAAAGCTCGTTCAATTTTCTACGTGTGAACAGCTTTCTGAGATAAGCACTATGTATGTATCCATGTCAAAGACTCAAAGTAGCCATATTACTACTACTTTTGATTTTTTTCGTAAAACCTTATGGTTGTTTTTCTCCAATATGGAGATTGAAACCAGAAAGACATTTTCTGTTTAAATATATAATCAAAAATAAATATTGGGAACGGAGAATTATAGTGAAGAAAACAACTTTTAGTGACATCGGAAAATATATATTCAGAAAAAAAACAACTTTTGTTGTCACCAAATCAATAAAGAAAATGTCGATCACCCTAAAGTCAAGGTGAAATACTCTAAATGGTTCTCTAGATGTAGATATTTGGACGATATCATTATGTCCACCAAATATCCGATAAATGATATGAACCTGCATTGAAAAAACATATTTTGTAGCGAATATCAATAGTATACATGTTGGTCACGGTGAGTGGAATATCAACATATATACTAATATATGAAGCATGAAACATTTAATCACATTTAGC